AGGTTATTATAGAATATTTTCTGGTAAATTACTTATAACCAACTATAAAAACTAAAAATAAATAATAACAGCGAATAAACTAGCGAATAACCTACTGTGTAGGGAGTTAAGACTGGCCTGAACGAATTGTTCTCAGATAATTTGAATAAACTAGACACAATATCAATTTCCGACCTTTTATTATAACTAATCCGATGTCCGTGGTACCGTCAAATCCTTCGATTTTACAGCACTGTACCCGTTGGATGAGAATTTCATCCTAAGAGCGGTTGAAGGTCCCCGGCAACTCGGGCGGATCACGTGGTAAGAGAGCCTAGTGGTTATATTATTCTACTGTGGCCATACTCTGAGTTAGTATGGTATGTTGTGGAATTGGCCGCGGTGGTAGTGCGCCCGACTCACGATCGGAAGACCGAGGGTTCGATTCCCGCCTCGACCAGATATTTTTCTCGAGAGAATTTATCTGGTTGAAGCTGGAATGATTCTGCAACCGTGTTAGGAATCACACATTAAAAGGTAAGACCTCGTTAGTCCTTAGCTCGCACAAGTTTCTCAACTTCTGAGAGTTGTCGTTCGTATGGGGGCGACAGTTGATTAACGGAAAAATAGATTTTAAACAGATTTTTTTAAACCTAACTTTATCAGGAGCCAAGCTTTGTGTTTAGTGATTATCGACTGAACCCTGATTGGAATCGCACATTAATTTGTTAATCATGATTAGAGAGAACAAAATACGTGTTAGACGAAATGTTTGGTATTACTCTCTCATAGTGACTCTAGCGGTGAAAAACATGTTCTCATATAGGTAATTCCTTAATCTTTAGCTCGCATAAATAAGTATCGACTTTGGAGGATTAACGTTAGTATGGCGTACCAAAAAATTTTTCAGGGGTACGGTTCGCAGAACGCAATACCCAAAATGTATAATTTCATTTACTGTTCAAACCAAACGGTTCAATAATATTAATGAAACGAGTAATACTTGGAAGAACGTCACACGTGACGATCCGATCCAAAAAAAGATCGTATTGGTTACGCAAAAGCGAAATGTGACAATTTTTGTCGATCGTTCACTTCGTGGGGCACCTACTATTCGAGCTTTTTTACTTTTCCAATACGTTTTAAACCAACAAAAACAGCATAAAAGCTAACGCCCAGTTCTTCCACCCTCCCACGCACCATTTGTGATGGGTCAGTCACCGTATACACCGTATAGAAGCAAACTTATTTCATTTAAGGAATGATATTCTGAAGGAATTCGATTTTCAATTATCGGAAGTCATCGACTTTATGTTGATGATAGACACTACCTTGCACTGACGAGTGGCCAAACAGCCCGAAACCGGTCTGTAAGTGTGTTCCAATAATTGAAAATATATTGCAGTTGTATCGCCAACAGCATATGCAGGAATAACTTCAGTGAAAAATCCTGCACTGACACCTGTCGGATATAATTCAACGCCCACTGACTATATGTCACAAAATTCTCTTTCAGTCGGTATATACGACACTGTAGTATGAATATTTATTGAAATATGGAGCTATAAAAAACATGACATTGAAACAGACAAAATTTTTTTAAAATCCTACATTATATTTTTTCCGACATTGCTTATCGTTGTAATGCCAGAAATGTTACAAAATCAAAATATCTGTCAAATAAGGTGTCACTCGATTATTATTTTATTTGATTTTTTTACGACAAAATATGTTATCCTGAAAACTAATGTTGACGTTGTTTATTACCAAAGGATTTGCTCTCGGTAGTTCGTTTCAATTCGAATGCGCTGTATATCCATAATTGTTATTTTCTGTTATCTGTATTAGTTGATGAATAATAAAAGTTTCTACCTGGAACAACCCCTAACAACTAGGTAAAGTTGTTTTAGAGTCGACCCACTTTGAAATGTTTTTTTGTAAATGTGTTGGAAAAATTAAGGAATTTTTTAAATTATAAATCTATGCGAACAGGAACTTTAAAAACATTAACCAATCTAATACTGGATGAAAAAATTATTGGGGAATCAATAATATTGGGGAATTTTGAGAAACTCGGAGTTCACTGTCATTTGTCAATGTCAACGTTAGCAACTATGAATTTCAGATTATTTTTGTTATTAATGAAAACACTTGATAAAGCTATTGTATAGTGAAACACGAATGGTGGTTTTGTAAAATCTCCAGTGAAAATCTCATAATAGAGTGTTACTTGAAATGCTTCTTGGCATTCGTTCGAGATTCGATCTTTGCTATTGACTGTTTAGTCTTTGAGTTTATTCTGCGTTTTATATTGAGATTTTGTTTGACTTTGAAAAATCAAATCAGTTATTAGTTGAATAGTATTCAAATGTATAGTAGCGGCCTACGAATGTTGGAATTCCACTCTGAGAAAGTGTTCGCAGATTTATCGATTTTAATAAATCTGAAGTGTCAGATTTCCATTATTAGGATCTGTTGTTCAGTGGAACAACCTAGCTGGATTTCTTCGCCACCAACGAACGATTACTAGTTTCGACGATTGATTCTGAGTGCGGAATAACATACTATTCTTGGGTATTGGTTGCTGTGTAGAGTTGTATATACGGAGTTGCCAGAGACTATTCGACTCAAGTGAATGGGAAGTAATTTAACCCAAATTACTTCCTAAATTAATTTGATATGCATCACAAAGTAATACAAAAACCAATCAGCTTTTATCAAGGCTAAACAAAACCAGACCTTCTTAGTTCTATAACTGAATTCGTGAGCAGTGTTCCAGAGTAGGGTAAGCCACAAACATTACTAACTTTTAATCAAAGTGAATTCGATCCATAGTGTGTTCCTGCCAGGACTTTCAGATTCAACGAGGGAATCCAAGGAAAAGACCTATGTCGCCGTATTTACTGTACCCTCAGTAAATACAGCCAGAGGTAGGCCTACCCGAACTGTCTACGAGAGTTTTCACGTGAAAACTCTCATTGCATTGACATTCGGCGGCTTTAAAGCCCTTGAGTCTCCGGGGACTTGTCTCATCTTCGGGATAGGTGGTTAGGCAGGTAACTTCGCGTTTTTAGTGTGTCTTCTAGATCAGGGAGCGATAGGGAACCTTCAAGTCCGGTCCCAGCGGCCAACGTGGTGACTTGTCGTACCCCCGCGGATTTTTGTTTAAAACTTAGCTAGTTTTAGGGAATTAAAAATAATAAAATCGAAAACTTTGATTTTAAACGTTTATTTTCTCGGGTGTAACTTCTACACTCGAAAGAGATCCTCCGGGAGTCAAGGGGAGTTCCCGGCTCTGTTCTTGTGGGATGCTCGGCGTCGACGAAAGGACTCACTTGCCTAGCCGGGCATGAAAAGTCGACATCAGGAAAAATGGACGGCGATTTTCATTTTTCAAGTACGCCGAGTCGTCTACATAAACAACAAATAAACTACTGTGATGAATTTTTGAAAATGAAATTTGTAAAGATCAAATCGTAAGGTCTAGTTTATGAAATTATTTTCAAAACTGTGGAACTACTACTTTCATTATAATTTTGCATACATTGAAGCTCCCTCTATATGATTACAAACGAACAAACTGATAGGAAAATATTTTTTGCGTTATTCGCTTGCTGTGTCGTTCAATAGTTCGGGCACCGTACATATAGACCAGATTAGTTAGGTTAGGATTTTTCGAGCGCGAAATTCGAACTCAGGTTTATCACGGAAACCTGTCATTTAATTTCCCATGTAAATCTTATGTGACTAAAAATTCTTCGACTTTGTCGCCTTTTTTCAGGTATTCAATCTTATTCCTCAGAATTGATTTTACATAAAAAAGATGAAATGGATATGAACATGAATAAACAAACTTACAGCAATTATAAGCATGCAAATACTTATAAAGTTAGGGTGGGAGTTACCCCAAATGGCGTTATGGCATTTCCTGGTTCAATGTCAGACAAGCAAATATTTTTGATGAGTAAATTGAATAATCATTTAGAACCAGGATGTTTTGAAGCCTGGAGTGACCATTAATGTGCCTCCATTTCTAATGAGCAATCAGTTCACTGAAACTATCCATGAGGACATTAGAGATAGCAAGACCCAGAATTCACGTAGAGCAGACAAATGCAAAAATTTTAGAATTTTGAATTTAATTCCTGGTTCAATGAAGAAATTCTCTTCTGCAATATTTCAAGTTATATGTTTTGTTAACTTACAAAACATTTTTTCAAGAAACCATTGAATGTTAAGTTTTTACTTTTCCAGAGTTTTTAAGAATGACTTTCTTTTATAGATTTATTTTTTATTATCAGAAAGTTGTTTTTTGATTTGTGCAGATTCTACTTTTTTCAGAGTTTTCTTTCTCTAGTCCTACACAATATAGTTACGTGTATTGAAATGAAAGGGGATTTAATTTGGGTTTTTCATAT